AAAAAAAAAAAGTCTCCCTTGCCTCAGACCTCGAGTTGAGAATTTACAGGGTGCCGCCACCCGCCAGCCAACTTTCTATTTGTTAGTAGAGAATGGGTTTTGGCCATGTTGGCCAGTGGATGTTGAAGTCCTGACTTCAGGTGATCTGACCTGCCGGCCTCCAAGGTGTTGGGATTGATCGGCGTGAGCCACCGCGCGCTGGCCCGTGTGTCCTCTTTGGAGTGGGCAGGTTGCAGTTGAGGAACGTTGATGATGTTGCACCTGTGCAATCCCCTCCACAGTCCAGATGTGGAACTTTCCCACTACCCCAGAGGCTTCTGTGCCCCTCCCATGTGGCGTCCCCGCCAGCTGTTGCGTCTCCTGACCTCGGGTCACGTTCTAGAGATTCCCATGAATAGAAGCACATTGTTCTGTCGTCTCTGTGGCATTCTCGGCCCCGCCGATGTTGGGGAGGTCAGGCCATGCTTCTTGACTCTGCGTAGCCCATCGTGTGGAAATGCTATCATTGTTTTATCCATTCGTCTGTTTCCAGTTTTTTGCCTATTTGAATAAAGCTGCTCATGAAATTTGTGTACAAGTCTTTTTGGTGGGATATGGTTTTTATGGGGTTCTTGGGTACCTACCTAAGGAGTGGAATTGGTGTGTTGTGTGGTTAAATGTATGAACCGTTTTCCAAAATGGTTGTAACCGCTCTGCAGTCCACCACCAGCGTGGTGAGTTCCAGGGCTCCACATTGTGCCAGCACTGCATTGGGTCGCTGGTCTTTGTAATTTTTGCCATTCTAACTTGCATGTGGTGGTGTTCACTCCCTTTAAGTTGCATATTTTCCCCATGATGAACGGGGTTGACATCTTTTCATGTGTGTGTGGCCTTTGGGATTGCTTCTTGTTATGTTCAATCTTTTGTCTATTTTAAATATTTGGATTCGGCCTGTTGGTTGCTTTGTAAGAGTTCCTTATATCATCTGGGGAAGATACAGTATTTAAAAGATGTTTTTTTCTCTCCCAGCTCATGGCTTGCCTTTTCATTTTCTGTAACATTGTCTTTTGGAAAATAGTTTATAGTTTTGGTGAAGTTCAAGTTATTTCATTTCTTTCTTTTCTTTCTTGGAGCGAGTTTCATTCTTGTTGCCCAGGGCTGGAGTGCAGTGGTGCGGATCTCAGCTCACCACAAACATCTAACTCCGCGGTTCAAGTGATTCTCCTGGCTCAGCCTTCCGGAAGCTAGCGGGATTACAGGCATGCACACCACACCCAGCTCAATTTTGTATTTTTTTTTTTTTTTTTTCTGAGAAGGAGTCTCACTCTGTCGCCCAGGCTGGAGTGCAGGGCCGGATCTCAGCTCACTGCAAGCTCCGCTCCCAGGTTAACGGCCATTTCTCTGCCTCAGGCCTCCCAAGTAGCTGGGACTACAGGCGCACACCCTCGCCCGGCTAGTTTTTTGTACTTTTTAGTAGGAGCGGGTTTCACCGGTGTTACCCAGGGATGGTCTGGATCTCTCGATCTCCTGACCTCGTGATCCGCCCATCTCGGCCTCCCAAAGTGCTGGGATTATAGGCATGAGCCACTGCGCCCAGCCAATTTTGTATTTTTAATAGAGACAGGGTTTCTCCATGTTGATCAGGCTGGACTCGAACTCCCAACCTCAGGTGATCCGCCCACATTGGGCTCCCGAAGTGCTTGGGATTACAGGCGTGAGCCACCGCGCCGGCCACTCATTTTTTCTTTTATGTTTCTTGTGCCCTAAGAAACCTTTGCGTACCCCTAGCTCACGAAGACTTTCTCCTGTGTTTCTCCCTAGAAGTTTTTAAAGTCTTAGCTTTTATATTTACAATTTACAATGTTTCCTTTCAAGATGGTGTTTGTGTTTGTGTGTTGTGCGAGGTTGAGGGTAGAGGTTCACCCTCTCGCAGTGTGATCCCGACATGTTTAGCGCTGTCTGTCGAAGGACTGTCCTTTCCTCCCTGGATTGCCTTGGCACCTTTCTAAAGAGAATGGACCCTCCATGCCTGAGTCTGCTTCTGGTCTCTGCTCTGTTTCGTTGGTCTGTATGACTTGCCATGGTGTCCGAGCACAGCATCTTGATGACTCTAGCTCTATGCTGTCTTGACATCAGTAGTGTAAATTCTCCAGTGTTCTTTTTCAAAATGGTTTTAGTTGTTTTAAGCCTTTTGCATTTCCGTTTTTAGAATCATCTTGTGAGCTTCTACCAAGCTAGCTAGCTTGGCTTTTGATTGGGACTGTTGTGATAACTGATTTGGAGAGAATTGAGATCTTAACATTGTTTCTGGGAGCTTTCCATTTATTAAGGTCTTTAGCTTTTCTCAGCAGTGTTTTTGAATTTGCGTGTTCAAGGTCTTGCATGTGTTATTCAGTGATCGCTAAGCACTTCCGGTCGTGATGATTTGTTGATACTAGTTGGAAACACAGCGGATGCATATTTTAACTTCCTTGGCGTCTTAGTCTGTGTGGTGTTGCTATAAAGGAATACTTGAGGCTGGGTGACTTACAAAAGGAGGTTTATGTGGCTCATGGCTGTGCAGGCTATAAGCAGCATGACCTGGGCGTCTGCACCTGGCGAGGCCTCAGGCTGCTGCTGCTCATGGCAGAAGGGGAAAGGAGCTGGTGGTGCGAAGCGTGTGGCCAGAGGAAGGAGAGAGTGGGGGGCACGAGGTTCTCTTAAACCACCAGTTCCTGTGGGAACCAACAGCAACAACTCACACTTGGAGCAGGGCAGCCACTCACAGGGGACCCCCATCCAAACACCTCCGTTAGTTGGGGATCAGATTTCAGCATGCATTGGAGGGACGGACATCCCAGCCGCAGGAGAAGGGAGTGGCCAGGCTGGACGGGAGGTGTGTTTGACTTTTTTTTTTTTTTTTTTTTTTTGAGACGGAGTCTCGCTCTGTCGCCCAGACTGGAGTGCAGTGGCCGGATCTCAGCTCACTGCAAGCTCCGCCTCCCGGGTTCCCGCCATTCTCCTGCCTCAGCCTCCCGTGTAGCTGAGACTACAGGCGCCCGCCACCTCGCCCGGCTAGCTTTTTGTATTTTTTAGTAGAGACGGGGTTTCACCGTGTTAGCCAGGATGGTCTCGATCTCCTGACCTCGTGATCCGCCCGTCTCGGCCTCCCAAAGTGCTGGGATTACAGGCTTGAGCCACCGTGCCCGGCCGTGTGTTTGACTTTTAAAGAAACTGCCAAACTCCCCTTCCCTGGTGCTTGTGGTGTTTGCTTTCCTGCCAGGACGGCGTGGTCCTCCCAGCACGCAGGCAGTGGAGCCAGCCTTTTGGAAGGAGGTGCTGGAGCCCAGTCCCTGGTGAGACGCAGCCTCCTGCCGAGCTGCTCCCATTCTGCAGCCTGTGGTTTTCTTAGCGGTATCTTTTGAGCAAACATTTTTAATTTTAATGAAGTCTAATAGATTCTTTTATGGGTCATTCCTTTTTGTCTTCCATCTAAGAAATCTTTGCTTCTCCCAAGGTCAAAACATTTGCTCCTGTATTTTCTTTTTGGAATTAGTATAGTTTTAAAATTTAGATCAGTATGAATTCCCACCCACCAAATGTCTGCTGGATCTGGAATGATATTCTTGCTTTCATTCCTGATTTTGACAATTTGTACCTTTTTTTTTGTTTTTTGACAGCGTTTTGCTCTTACTGCCCAGGCTGCAGTGCAGGGGCGTGATCTCGGCTCACTGCAACCTCCGCCTCCCGGGTTCAAGCGATTCTCATGCCTCAGCCTCCCAAGTAGCTGGAATTATAGGCATGTGCCACCACGCCTGGGTAATTTTTGTATTTTTAGTAGAGACGGGGTTTCACCATGTTGGCCAGGATGGTCTCAAACTCCTGACCACGTGATCTGCCTGCCTCAGCATCCCAAAGTGCTGGGATTATAGGCATGAGCCGCTGTGCCTAGCCTGTGTTTTTTTTTGTGAGACGGAAGTCTCGTCTGCCGCCAGGTGGGTGCAGTGGCCGGTCTCTAGGCTCACTGCAAAGCTCCGCCTCCGGGCTCACGCCATTCTCCGCGCCTCAGCCTGCGCCGAAGTAGCGGTACTGTACAGGCGGCCCGCCACCTCGCCCGGCGTAGTGTTTTTGTATTTTTGTATAGAGCAGGGTTTCACCGGGTCAGCCAGGGATGTCCATGCTCCTGACCTGTGAGTTTCCGCCGGCGGTCTCGCCTCCAAAAGTGCGTGGATTACAGGCTGAGCCAGCCGCGCCCGGCCTGTGGTGTTTTTAAGTTGGTTGGGGAGAGACAGTGTCTTGCTTCTGCCGCCCAGGCTGGGCAGCACAGTCGGCACAGTCGCGGTCACTGCAACCTCTCCTCGTCCGGTCAGCGATTCTCTGCTCAGCTCCTGTCGCGGGATTACAGGCCTGATCCAGCATGCCGGTTCAATGTGCGTTTTGGTAGAGAGGGGGTTTCCCATGTTGCTTGAGGCTGGGCTGAACCCTGGGGCTCAAGTGATCCTCCTGCCTTGGCCTCCCAAAGTGCTGGGATTACAGGCGTGAGCCACCGCGCCCAGCCTCATTCTTTTTAATAGGTGTAAAATATACTACTGCGTGGATGTCACCCGTAAATCATTTAACCAATCCCAGTAGGAGGGACGTTGAGAGTTTTCAACTCCTTCTGGACCGTGGAGCCTGAACCCACGAGGTGGAGCTCTTCTGAGCTGTGCTGCAAGGACTCACCTTATTTTTTATTTATTTATGTTTTGAGGCAGAGTCTCTCTCTGTCACCCAGGCTGGAGTGCAGTGGCACAATCTCGGCTCACTACTGCAGCCTCTGCCTCCCGGGTTCAAGCAATTCTCCTGCCTCAGCCTCCTGAGTAGCTGGGATCACAAGCACGCGCCACCATGTCCAGCTAGGTTTTGTATTTTTAGTAGAAACGGGGTTTCACCATGTTGGCCAGGCTGGTCTCAAACTCCTGACCTCAGGTGATCCACCTGCCTTGACCTCCCAAAGTGCTGGGATTACAGGTCTGAGCCACTGCACCCGGCCTGTCTTATTTGGGAGACGGCGTCTTGCTCTGCTGCTCAGGCTGGAGTATAGTGGTGTGGTCTCGGCTCACTGCAGCCTCCACCTCCTGGGTTCAAGCGATTCTCCTGCCTCAGCCTCTTGAGTAGCTGGGATTACAGGCGCCCACCACCACACCCAGCTGATTTTTTGTATTTTAGTAGAGATGGGGTTTCACCATGTTGCCCAGGCTGGTCTCGAACTCCTGACCTCAGGTGATCCACCCGCCTCGGCCTCCCAAAGCGTTAGGATTACAGGTGTGAGCCACCTCGCTTAGCTGACTGACCTTATTTTTGTCTTTAAATGCTTCATGCTTTGTAGCAAAAATAGCTACAACATTAAAACTCGTTTTAATAGGTAACCCAAAAGCTTATGACAATTTGTACTTCCTCTGTTTTAAAGATGCCCTTAGAAGTGTTAACTTTTCTTCCCTCATAGGAGGTAGAGGAAGATTTTTTGGGATTGAGAATGTTGGTGGGAACACAAGGAATATTATAAAACATTCTCAGATTGTTGTCACCAGAAGGGAAGAACAGATTAGTGAGAAACCATCTCGGCATCTGCCAGGCCCCCGCTCAGTGTGTCTCCACCCGCTGAAGGGCCACTCATTGACACCACTGCCCACAGCAGCTGGGGACCCTCGGGGGTGAGGCCGCGGTGCTCCTGAGCCTGTGCGTGGGCGCCGGCAGCTTCTGTCAGAGCTCTGCCCTGAGGCCCTCCTCGTGCGGCTGTGGTAGAAGGGCCAGGGCTGTGTGGAGACCGCTGTTGCTGCCCTGTGTTTTCCTGCTGTTGGCCCCGTGGTTGGGTTTGCATTCTCTTCCCCTCGCCTCCACCCATCTGCCTGGTCAGTGTTGTCAGAAGGGAGAGCATCTCCATCGCGAGTGGAGGTGACCAGCCGCCTGCCTGCGGGGGCTCGGGTGACCTCCCCTGCTGCGGGTTCCCATGTTCCTCCTCCCTGTGCTCGCTGTGAGGGTGCAGCTGTGGTGGTTTCTTTTCTGTGTCTCCTGCATTGTTATTACCTCCGTAACGTGAAATGTAAACCCCGTGAATGAAAAGGAAGCTCTGTCCCTGTCCTCTCCAGGACGGTGCGGGAAGGTGGATGTGCGGCTCATCCCGGACATTGGCTTCTCTTCCCTCTTCCACACGCACAGACCCTCTGGCCTCTGCTCACCTTGCCTTCGCAGCCTTTGTCAGTCCGGCGGTGTCCTAAGGTTACCAGGTGTTCTGAGCATCTTTTTTGAGACTTGATGTCACCGTCACCCAGGCTGGAGGGCAGTAGCACAGTCTTGGCTCACTGTAGCCTCGACCTGTGCTCAAGGGATCCTCCCACCTCAGCCCCCCGAGAAGCTGGGACGACAGGTGCCCGCCACCATGCCTGGCTAGTTTTTTGTATTTTTAGTAGACACGGGGTCTCGCCATGTTGTCCAGGCTGGTCTCAAACTCCAGGGCTCAAGTGATCCATCTGCCTTAGCCTCCCAAAGTGCTGGGATCACAGGCGTGAGCCCCCATGCCCGGTCTGCCATTGTTTAAAGTTCCTGTGATTAAAGTGGCGTGTTTCTCTTGCAGGAGAAGTATAGCATCGGGGAGCCCACAGTGCCATCCACCCTGGCAGAGGAGTTTACCTACAACCCCTTCATGAGAGTGAGGTGAGGGCCCAGGGCAGGTGGTGGGCACAGGCCCCTCCCCTCTGGCAGTCCCACTCGTACACACACAGTGGGGTGCATCTGAGACCCCAGATGGCTGAGGCTGCCCAGGGGAGCTGTAGCAGGTGCAGCCGCAGAGCCCCACCGCTCTTCTTGAGTGGGGTCCAGCCTTTCCTGGCGCCTTGGCCGGGGCGTGAGTCCTTCTGGACCCTGGAGTTCAGAACCTGTCGGGGAGAGTGGCTGCCGCCTCCCCGCCCTCTGTGTCCTCCCAGGGCTGAGCTACAGCCAGCACGAGTCACCTTCCTCTGCAGGGGCCCTGGCTGCTCAGGTGGGCGGTGGGTGTGGCTCTGCACAGCCTGCAGCCCGGTGCCGGCCTCCGCAGGGAGAAGACGGTGCAGCAGCACGCGGGTGAGACGGACCCGGTGACCACCATGAGGGCCGTGCGCAAGGAGAAGGACGAGTTCAAGATGCCCCGGGACTGAGGCCACCCTGCACCTTCAGAGCATTTGGTCAAGATGCCCCGGGACTGAGGCCACCCTGCACCTTCAGAGCATTTGAGGATGAGGCTCTTTTAGGTAACTGGCTTTCCTGCTGGTCGCGCAAGGAATTCAGTCTTGATTTAACCTTAATTTCACAGCCCTTGGCTTGTGTTATTGGATGTTCTAATGCATATTTATAAGAGAAGTTTAAAAAGTATTTATTCCCATAACTCACACTTGCAGACTGTTTTCTTCTGGCCTTTAGGCCTCCCCTCATCCCCTCGGGCCTTCTTCCTCCTCTTCTTCCTCCCCCGTGAGCCACTGCAGTCCCCCCACCCATGCTTCAGGTCAGGACCCCGGGGGGCGGGGTGCTCTCTCCCTGGGTTTCCTGGCTCTGTAGGAGAGAGGATACCTGGGGTGCCCTGGGTTCTTCCTCCTTCCCTTTGCCACCAGCACCCCACCTCAGAGGAATAGACACCTTTCTGGCTCCCAGGTCACTGTCACAATCCGCGTTGACATGGGATGAGTGGGCTTGGGCCCTTCGAGAGCAGACCCCCTCCCACCGGGCCATGGGTTCTCCAGCATTGCTGCCGTCCTGGGCTGGGGAAGGCGGCTCGGTGTTTGTGCCTGAAGCAGGCGGGGGCTCCTCACCAAGTTTCCTGCCCATGCTCGGGGGCTCTGGCTCAGCTGGAGTGGCCGCTGTGGCCGTGCCTGTGCTGTCTCCTGTCCCGAGCTCCCAGCATGGGGGTGGCCGGGGCTGCAGGAAACCGTGCCCCAGCTGCCCAGAGCCTCTGCCTCTTGGCAACGTGGTACTGGCACCACGCTCATTCTCATGCCCCCATCCCATCCTTGTCCCTTCAAAGGCTGCCCTCACAGGTCTTCCTGGGGAATCCCGAGGGTTGTGATGGCACACTGCCCCGTGTCACCCCGGGACTCCTGTCTGTGGGCGTGAGCCGGTGCCTTTGCTGTGGCTGGGTGCCGATGCGACGGTCAGACCCACGGCTGCGGTCGGCACCTCTGCAACCCTTGCCTGTCTGATCTGCTGAGGTCCCCTTGGCAGGGAGAGGTGGCTGTGTCTTCTTCCTGGAGGCGGCCAGATCCCGCGACCTCCAGGCAGTGCCCTGCTCAGCAGCACCCCCAGCCCCGTCTCTGCTTGGAAAGCACAAACCGCCCTCTGGGGAAGCAGCCACCTGGGGAGTGCTCGGCCTGTGACCCCAGGAGAGCTAGGTGGGTGGCCACATGTCCTGCCCAGGCTCTGCGTGTGCCTCGCGGCAGAGGGTCTACGAGGGAAGGGCAGGAAGAGGCAACCCCTAGGGCTAATCTGAAACTTAAAAAATGTATGAGGGCTAGGCACGGTAGCTCATGCCTGTAATCCCAGCACTTTGGGAGGCCGAGGTGGGTGGATCACCTGAGGTCAGGAGATCGAGACCATCCTGGGTCAACATGGTGGAAAATCCCCATCTCTACTAAAAAATAAAAAAATAACAAAAAAACTAGGGGCCGGGCGAGGTGGTCGGGGTGCCTTGGAGAGCTTCAGCTACTCGGGACAGCTGAGGAGAGAACGGCGTACCGCAGGATGGAGGTTGCAGTGAGAATTGGGGACCTCTCGGACCTGGGCGACAGGAGCGAGATCGCGTCTCAAAAAAAAATAAAAAAATAGGGCCGGAAGGGCGCGGGGAGCTGTAGGTCTTCAGTATCTCGGTAGGTTGAGGGGCAGGTAGGAGAACACGGCGTGAACCTTGGGAGGCGAC